GCAGGACTTTCTCATGTCACCGAAATGTCCTTGCAGCAATCAGCCCTTATTTTAGGTAGGAAATGTTGGAAGCAAAACATTACTGGGTTTATATAGTCAGCTTGGTTACAGTTAGTGGGTAACTGATCAATGTAGTAATATTCAGATACAACTTCATTGTCAAGTCGTAGTATGTTTGAATCATAATACAGGTGTTGCATGAGAATTTATTAACATAGGTTCTTGTGCATTTCTTTTGTTTTTGCCACCATCTTCACCAGGTCCATGTTCACCAGTGGCCTTACAGAGAGCAGCCAGCGTGAGGTCAGAATTGTTGGGGTGGAATCTGAATCCATGCACCTCGTCCTAGACTATGCCTACACATCCAGGGTCACGCTCTCTGAATCTAATGTCCAGGCCCTGTTCACTGCAGCCAGCATTTTCCAGATTCCTGCCTTGCAGGACCAGTGTGCCCAGTTTATGATAAGCAGACTTGACCCCCAGAACTGTATTGGAGTCTACATGTTTGCTGATGCCTATGGGCACCAGGAGCTGAGGGAACGCTCGCAGGACTACATCCGCAAGAAGGTCAGTTTAACATGAGAACAGGATTGGTTTCTTTAAAGTTATTTAAATTGTGATTTAATGCTTGTGCTTGGTACTACTTAATTTTACTTAATTCATAAAAAGACCCTTATTCTGGTCTTGTAACTGTGTTTTTTTTTTTTTTTTTTGTAGTTCTTGTGTGTGTCATGGGAGCAAGAGTTCCTCCAGATGACCAAGGAGCAGCTTGTCAGCATTTTGAACAATGATGATCTCAACGTGGAGAAGGAAGAGCATGTCTATGAGAGCATTGTCCGCTGGCTGGAGCATGATCTGCCTGGCCGTGAAGCCCACCTAGCCGAAGTTTTTTCCCAATGCATCCGTCTGCCTTTGCTGGATGAGTCCTTCCTCAGTCGGATACCTGCCCCCTTTGCTTGTGCCCTGTCCCTGTCTAAGGACCCTGCTGAGGCCAAAGCCCGCCTCACTGGCACCAATGGTTGCCCACAGCGCCTGGGTATGACTGCTTCTGAGATGGTCATCTGCTTTGACGCTGCTCACAAACACTCAGGGAAGAAGCAGACAGTGCCTTGCCTGGACATAGCCACAGGAAGGGTGTTCAAGCTCTGCAAACCACCCAATGATCTCCGGGAGGTCGGTATCCTGGTGTCCTCAGAGAATGACATCTACATTGCCGGGGGTTACAGACCGAGCAACAGTGAGGTGTCCATAGACCATCGGGCGGAGAGCGACTTCTGGCAGTACGAGCACGCAGGCAACCGATGGCTTCCACGTGCACCTCTGCTGAGAGCGAGGATAGGCTGCAGGCTTGTGCACTGCTGTGGCAAGCTTTATGCCCTGGGAGGCAGAGTGTACGAAGGTGATGGGCGAAATGCATTAAAGTCAGTAGAGTGCTATGATGCCAGGGACAACTGTTGGACAGCAGTCAGTCCTATGCCAGTGGCTATGGAGTTTCACAGTGCCGTAGAGTACAGGGACCGCATCTATGTCCTCCAAGGTGAGTTTTTTTTTAACTGCTTAAGGGAAACTATGCAATCTCTACAGTGGACTGACGATGACTCTGAGTGCTAATGTCATATTTCTCATTCACTCAATTCATTTATCAGAAAATGTGTACATAACATATTTATGTGACAAACCTATTTGAGTCAGTATGTTAAAGAAGTTGACCACAGCTCTAAATGACTTTTCTTTTTTTCTGCAGGTGAATATTTCTTTTGCTTTGATCCCCGTAAGGACTATTGGAGTCATCTTGCCCCGATGAGTGTCCCTCGAAGTCAGGGTCTGGCTGCCTTGTATAAGAACTGCATCTACTACATTGCTGGCATCTGCAGGAACCACCAGCGCACCTTCACTGTGGAGGTCTACGACATTGAGAAGAACACATGGAGTCGCAAGAGAGATCTGCCCTTTGACCAAGCCACAAGCCCATATATAAAGGCCATGCTGCTGCAAGGCAAGCTACACTTGTTTGTACGAGCCACACAGGTCATGGTGGAGGAGCACGTGTTTCGCACCAGCCGCAAGAACTCCCTTTACCAGTACGACGATGACGCAGACGTATGGACCAAAGTCTATGAGACACCTGACCGCCTCTGGGATTTGGGTCGCCATTTTGAGTGTGTGGTGGCCAAACTTTACCCACAGTGTCTACAGAAAGTGCTTTGAGGTAGCTGGTTTCGTGAACCCAATCTATGAGGCAGAGGGGAGTTGTGTGGTCCTGCCTGCCTTGTGCCTGGTGTGTTACCTTGGGTTTGCACCACAAGGACCATTTTTGGTTAAGTCTTAAGTCTTTCAAACTTTGGTTTAACATGATCAAAATGGGGGTGCTTTTAAAGATTGCAGTATTTTTTTTCCAGACGGCACCAGCTACCCACACTGATGCTTGTTTAACAAAACCGTACAATGAATCATAAGTGCAATTATTCTATTTTTTGCTTGTTGTTGAGCCATGTTGTTCTATTTTTGTTTTGGATACTTATATAGGTATGGATTTTTACAAACGATAAGCATGCAAATGAGGGTATTGGCAAGATAAAATTGCCCTCTGGAGATATGGATGCTACACGTCAGCATAAAGTGAAAATCTATATATATAAATAACTATATAAACTATATATTCATACGGGTAAGATGAGTACCATAGCTCATTAGTAGGTTGCTGGCTCTGAGGTGTGTTTGGTTTTTTTTTTCTATTCTGTGCTCAAGTCTCTCTACAGCTTATTTTATAGATGAGTTTAAATTTGAAGTGTGCTTGTGATTTACATTACCTTAGTGTTTTTGAAGCTTGAAGCTTGTATGATATTTTTATGGCCCCCTCTTCCTTCACATGTCAGTGTGTCAAACAATACACTATGTATGGCTGCCGAGCTATTTTGAAGTTTTGTTTGAGATTCCAGTTGCATGGGTGGCTCACACCTCCCACTTTTTTGAGTTGGCGTCCATTTTGTGTCACATGCGAAGACAACTTAAGTGAAATGTTAAAGAGTACTCACTCTCCACATTGGAGAAATAAGGACGGAGTCAAAATTGTTGCAAACACTAAGTGGAAAGTTCAGACCAACTAACAGGCTTACCTCAGAAACTTCAGATATATTTGATTAGGAGAAAAGGGACATTTCAGGCCATTGTGTTGATTTAGCAACTGTGTGAAAAGCTCAGTTCAGCATTGAGCTCTGTTGAGGTTGTTTTTTGACGTTTGATTATAGTTCTTTGAAAAAGGTTGAAAGAGCCTTCCTCTTAAATGCCAAAAAACGCATTTGAGGTCTTGTTATAATTGATCTGGACATCGGAAATAATTTTGTGGTAGCAATAAGTCATGGAACTGTGATTAGGCTATATTACGTTATATATTACCTTTAGTAAAAGTGCATTAATTGTTTTGTGTGCTTGTCTCTGCTAGTGAAAATCACAGTGGTTCCAATAATGATTGTGTGGCTGTTGCATGGGCGCAGGCTTGAAGTGATGTGTAATTTAGTGCAGATAATTTGGGATGCCAATGTGCCTGTGGCTAAAGAGGGGCATCAGAATCAAAAAACTGTTCCTCCTGATGAAGAATATCTGAAGTCTTACTCAGCGTTGCACTGAATCACTCTCCACTTCAGCAGTCCTTTAACTGCAAACTTTACGAAGCACCCTCCTGAACAAGCAGACTATATAAACAAGCGAGGGTGGCCTGGGTTGTGTGCTAATTCATCTAACAGCCATGAATCCGTCTTTACACGCCACCACATCACAGAGGACACAAATTGTTGGTGCTGCTTTTTTTTTGACAATCTTGTATAGAAGAATTAATACCACCACTGAGTGGCGTTCCCTGTGAAAGTGTGACATTTTCAGTGCCGTCAATTTCCTCATGCAGGTTCCTGTGTCATCTTTGCACTACACATTTCCTTTGTATTTTATCTTAACGAAGAGTGCCCCTCTATTACGAAAAAGGTTTTAGTAACCACACAGCAATCATCAAAGAGATTTACATGGAAATTAATACCAGAAGAGTCACATTCAGTAAGGACTAGAGGATATAACTTCTCCAAGAGAAGATCCACTGTTGACTGACTTTGAGCTGATTTTTAATTGACCCAGCTTGAACAATGCCCTCAAAACAGCCCTCATGAGGTGTGAGAGAAGGTTTGAGCTTCATCCACATGTCTACAGACGGCCATTTGAGAACCAGGAACGGAGAACTCTCAGGATTTCTACTGATACACAGTACTGTATTTAAATGTTTTTGTTATGTGTAATATACTGTATTATAGGTTTGCTGTACTTGCACAGTTTTTTAAACTTCTCTTCAGTTTCTTTTATAACTTGAAAAAAAAATAGATGTGATTTTCTTTTTGTTGTCTCCAGTGGCTGTTTTTTTTGTTCTTTTCTTTATGTAATTACCTATTTAGTTATGGTAGAGTAATCCTGCTCTGTTGAGGAAAAAAATGATTACCCGCACGAGTGATACATTTTGATTTTTCTTTCCCTCTGTTGTACAGTAGTGTTTTCTTTTGTAACATCTCACTGAAACTAAGCATTACGGATCAAGTAACTACATTGTTACGTCACGTTTCAAACACCAGTCATGTAAACCAACAAGCTAAAAAATAAAAAAGAGCTAGTGGCCCCTGGGCTGCAGTACATAGCTCACCCCCGGTCATCTACATGCATCGCTTATGGGTGCTATTCCATTGTGTTCTTCATGCGTTTTCCTCACATTTAAATTCGCTGTCTGTTTTTGGGTTTATAGTGGTGGCTGAGCTCAACTGTGAAATTCACATTGCACATAATTTGAAAATAAAATGATTAAAGATGACATGTATTCATTTATTCTCCATTGTTGATGCTGTTCTTCTTGTTGCAACCCAGTCAGCAGTCAGTCACTGTAAAGCATGTTGCAGCAGTGTGACCTGTAGGCTGAACCTCATGCAGACAGAGACATTGCTCTCTCATACTAATGATCCTGTAACTCGTCAAAACGGCGAGGAAACCCCCAGGCCACTGGGGTGACACGTGACCACACGTCAAATAAAGCAGCAGGCTGAAACTTTAGTCTCTGGGTTTGTAGAGACAAGCGGGCTGCTAACAAAGGTAAGGGTTACTCCGGCTTTCTTGAATATATCTATGAGCTTATCCGTCTGTAATGCTTTGAAAGTTGCGGGTTTAACACCGCAGTTCAGATATCGATCGTAGTCCACGTGTGGCTGATCCCCCCCCCCAATCTCCTGTCTCTCTTTCTTTCTTTCTCTCTTCCTTACTTTCTTTCATTCAAACTGTTTATCTGACACCGCTGAACTCCTCTGCTGTGAAAGCGGTTCACTTGCTCACTAATTTAAGAGAAAAAGCTGCGTTTAGGATTCAGTCACACACTCGAAGCGGCTCTTGTTGGGAGTTATTTGTAGTTTAACCGTGAATGGAGGCACATAACAGATGCTGTCTGCCCGGCCGAACACTCAACAAATACAGGCGAAACTTCTCTTGCTTATACTGCTTTAATAAGACATATGTTACACTTTTGTCAACGCTGTCCCTCAGTAATTAGGCACGCTGTCACGTGATGTCTAAACAACACTAACTCCATTAATGAAAGGCCCAGTGAGTAATGATTATGGCCATGTATGTATATTCATATTCATATTCAGTCGCTATGTAACCGAAGAGCCTGATGTAATGATGATAAATCAGCATTGTGTGCTAATTATCAGGAACTGATTGCAGAGGTCAGTCAATCCTATTATTGTGTTTACTAACATGACTTTTGTAAACAAACCTTTTCACAGCTTCAGAAAACAGCGCACCTTTGATTTAGCTGCCATGTAGTGCTGGTGTTAGTCCATTTATTAAAATACTATTTAAATATATATTGTTTTATTTTGAAATTTGCTGAATTTGTTGACATTAAAGGGGCAGTAACATTTAGGAGGATCTATTGGCTGAGATGGAAAATAATATTTACAGGCATGTTAGTGTATAATCACCTGAAAATGAAAGATGAGCTAATTTTATCTACAGATGCCGCAGTCGGCCATGTTGAACCGCCATGTTTCTACAGTATCCCAGAATGAACAAACCAAACAGTAGCTTTAGATAAGGCGGTTCTGATTTTCTGTGTGTTTCATGGCCACTGTAGTTTCTCCTTTGAGCTTGGAAGGGGAGGGTGAAGTGAGGGAGTTGCCACTAAATCCTGCACACGGCTCCTTTAAGCTCACTTTAAGCTCATTACAGTTAAAGCAAAACTCACTTCTGCTTGATATAATTTATGCAATTTTAATATGTACTTAATTGTCTCAGTTTTAGGTCACAACATATATTTTGGTAACACAATGTCATGTATGTTTTCCACTCTTTGAACAGGAACATGTCCCCTGCTCCAGCTGATGAGTTGGACCACAAACCCCTGGATGGTGGTTGGGGCTGGATGGTGGTGTTTGGGGCCCACATTTCCATTGGATTCGCTTACGCCACGCCCAAAGTCCTGTCTATTTTCTTCAAAGAGATCCAAGAGGACTTGGGGTCCAGTTTCAGTGAAATAGCATTGATTTCCTCCATCATGCTAGCTGCCATGTATGCAGGCGGTGAGTTGATTAAGTCAGTATTTGTTGAATTGGTCTACCCTAATGGAAAAAGAAAGACTATTATCAGTATCCCTGTGAACAAATTAGCACTGGTCTTTCACAAATCACTTCTTTATACTTTGAGAGGAAGATAAGCTTACCTTTAAGTTGCCTTTGTTCTGCTTGGTAATATATTTAACTAGAAACGTGTGTCTTTCAATAGCTTGCTTATTAAATTTGTTGTTGAAAGGGGATGGTCTCAGTATGCATATTGCTTTGTGTGTCTCTTTGATAAGCAGGTCTTTAATGCTTCCCGGTTGTAGTGCAGGAGAAGCTTCTGTTGTCTGTCTTTTTTATGGTGGTGATTACAGTGAGCATCGGTACTGTGCCTGGCTCACCTGGTGGAGCTGGCAGCCCCATGTACCAAAGGCTGAGTCCTTGCTGCAGCGGCCATGGGTTCAACTCCGACCTGTGGCCCTTTGCTGCATGTTGTCTCCTCTCTCTTCTCCCTTTCCTGTCACTCCTCAGCTATCACTATCAATTAAAGGCAATAAAAAAAAGACTGACTGTGGAAATAGCAATTTTATAGAAAAAAACTTGGGTCATATGACAACAACCTTTACAATTTATATTTAAAGTGGAGCCCTCTCCCTTGACACTCCATAAAACTCCTTCCAGGATGTCAGTAATATAGATGCATGTTTTTTATTTCAGACCTATATCCAGACCCAGTGTCTTGTATCCGGATATATGCAGATTAGATCAGGGTCAGGTTTAGATGCACTTTAGTTCGCACTTTCCTTACCAATGAAGCTCTTGTATGTTCAGCAGAACCTGAAGGTTCCCTGTGGAGTTTTAGACGTGTAGCTGTTTTTTATGAGCGAATCTTTGTTTTGTGTATCTGCATGCTGAGTGACATGGTACACATTCCTGTAAACATCGTTGAGCATATCGTTATATAGTCGCGTTTTAATGTCATGGGAAGTGAAAAAGAAAAAAATCAAGAATCAACATAAATAATTTGTATGTAGACGACATATGTGCAAGTTGCTTTAACGAGCAGGACATTTTACAATTGAAAACAGTTCTCTCTGGAGGACAAACTATGTAATGGTGCTACTGTTACCAAACTACCTCAAACATATATCTTTGGCATTTCTGTACTGTAGTTTCTTGTTACTTATCAACCCCCATATACGCTCGTATATCCGTGATGATAAATACAGATATACTGTATCAATAAACCACTAACTTTAAATCTAGAGTTGCAGCAGAGCTGTATGGTATTCATTGTTATCTGAGGTCACATGGCTTCAGGTTATCACAGGTTCTGTAGTCAGCACCTCTTAATCAATACTCTTTACATGACTAGATAGCACATTTGTATTGGCCTGCATACAATAGCCTTCAGCCTAACCATACTGAACTGTTTTATTCTCTTGGTCTTGTCTCTCTTTTTGGATTGTATTGTATTCCCGTAGGGCTTTGACACACCAAGTTCATCTCAAGAACTAGCACTGATAATGGTCCGCTGATCAGACTCATCGCCTCACATCTCCCGTTAAAAGTCACACCTGAACACACCACAGAGACTACAGCTAATGGCCAGCTGACTACGGAAGCGCACATAGCAAATGAAAAAAACATCTCTCTTCTCTACAAAGAAACCACTGTTGTGCTGTATACTCCAGATAGATAATTGAACAATTTAGTTCACATGAGTTACTGCACCCACTGAAATAGTGTTAGGCTGCCTAATAAGAGGAGTGATGTTAGCTTGTATTACTCACCTGACTTAAATTAAACTATGCACACTGACACTGTTTATTTATGAGTAATTTCACTTTTTCAGGTTCATACTGAACAGAACGTATCTCAGTAATTTGTTTAAAAGCATCTAAGAGCCTAAAGAAACAGCTGTTTATGATGATGATAGTTTCTTATTAAAGAAACTGTTTTGAAAAGTGAAAAGTTAAGATTTGAGAAAGGTCTGGAAAAATACCTGAAAAATACAAAAACATTATTTTGTATAGGAGACAAGTTTTTTTTCTGTATACTGTCAAGTGTGTAACATTTAGGAGATTTATTGGCAGATATGGAATATAATATATATAGCTATGTTTTCATTAGTGTTATCTTTAAATGAGCTCTTTTTATCTATCAAGGGATGGAGTCCGCAGTGTTGAACCGCCATGTATCTACAGTATTGCTGAAGTTACAAACCAAACACTGGCTCTAGATAGGGCCATTTATGTTTTTTAAGTTTTGCAGCCACCATCATTTCTCCTGCATGCTTGAAACGGGAGGGTGAGGCAAGGGCGTTGTAATCTGTAACTACACTGTTAGATTGCCACTAAATCCTACACATTGGTCCTATAATAACCTATTAAATAAATAGTACTGTGACCAGATAAATCTTGCGACCCCTTAAGGCTGTGTTCAAACAGACTCCCAGAAGAAACACAGCCCCCTCATTCATTTGAATAGGCCAACCCAAAGGTCTCTGTGGAGGAAAAATTGTATCTGGCTCAACTTTCGCTGGAGCTCAATGCAATGTCATCTGCCAAGGGCCAATAAAATATGTGCAGGCACACAGTCGTGGTAGATAACTTAGTAATGGGAATGATGTGTTTCTACCACTCACCTTGCATATTTTATATTATATTTATATCTGCATGTGTGGCCCCAACAAGACTATTGCACCTGGGCATATGTCACACAGGATATACATTCTACATCCCCGCTTCCACAACAGGCCAAACAATCTGAGAAACCTGACATGACTTTTCCACAATGTGTGTTTGGTCTCGTTCCAAAATATAGGTATTTAGAGTTCTTTGGAAAACTCATTAGAAAACACAAAATATGACAAAATAAAAGTCTTGTGGAGGCTTTATGTGAATACATCAGTAGCTGCTTTCAAGGTTACAGGACAACACTCTATGTGACTCACCTGCACTCAACTGAGAGAGGCCTAACTGGTGAAATATTCCCCTCCACTGTGGCTCAGGCACAGGGCTTTATCATATTGTCCTTGGCAAGGCTTCAGCAATGTCACCCAGTGGAGGAGAGAGACAGGGGGAATATATCAGAGGAAGGTTCAGCACACTGGGGTCTGACACCAGGTCCCCATGGGAGAGACGTGACAGCCTTTTCAGAGAACCTCTGACTCAAGAAGTCCGAATGATAAAGTTATAATGGAAGTAGAAATGGTGGTGGTGCGGGAGATGCCCTATTGTGACACAGCTACAGAGAGAAAGATGATCTATCTTTGACCCCCGCAGGCACCTGGTTAACTGTATAAACAGCAGGATGGATATTTTTATTTCATATAGTGTAGTTACAGTGGTGCAGCAGATACAGTTGTTGAGGACAGTTCTGTACAGCTCAGCATGATAAAAAAGGAAAGAACTTCATTTTGACTCAGTTGTGTTTTACTCATTTTGTACACATGTACTGTATATGTGTATATGCATATAAGCATAAATATGTGTTTTTTAGTGTATTATTAAAGGGATAGTTTATGTGCTCCTTTATTCTCCTCAAACCTCTCTATACTGTACAAGTAGGTTTTCGGACAAAACAGCAAACATCTTCTGGTTCCAGCTCTTAAATTGTGAGGTTTTACTGTTTTTCTTCTTCTAATTCCTGATAATTAATTAATTATTAATGAAAATAATCATTATTTGTAGGCCTGGATCTTGAAATTACCGTATTGGTTTGTGGAAGAAATGACATCAGAATTAGCCTATGGCAGCATGACATGCTAACAGACTTAATAGCAATGCACTGCAGTAGCTGAAAGATATACAGAGGCCTGACGGGGAAGCAAAGTATGGGAAACACATTTAAGATGTTATGTTGTTAATGGTCAAAAATGTGTGTGTGGCAAGGCGAGGCAAATCTATTTATACAGCACATTTTCTACCCGAAGGCTAGTGCTAAGAGGCAGGAGCACAAAAACAATAATAATAATAATAATAAAAACAAAACAAGCAAGGAGGGCACACAATAAAAAACACTAAAACTAACAATGAAAATCCCACAGAATTAAAACAATAAAACAAACTAACAAATAAATTTGATTTAGGAAAATTACAGTAAATGCAACGTTAAACTTTTAGGTCTTTCTTTTGAATTTTAAAGTAGTGAACTTTGTCTCAGGCCTTAACTCTTCTGGCAGTTTTTTCCACATTTAAGCAGCACAGAAGTTACTGTAAAGGCAGATTCACCATGTGTAGTTCTGACTCTGGGAACAACCAGTAACCCAGAACCAGCCGAGCTGAGGGATCTGCAAGGTTCGTACTGATCTTGGACCTACAACCGTTCAGAGATTTCTGGACAAGCAATAGCATTTTGAAGTTAATTCTAAGAAACAGTAAGAAATGATGCACTAAAATGTTTTTGTTAGTTGGCCCGTGTTCCTGATTTCGTTGGACAAACTGCTGCCTGCTGGCTTGATAAGTGCTGCAGTAATGTTTTTTTTACAAGGTTTTGTAGAAAAATATGTACAGATTCCATAACTATAGGTTATGAAAAAAAAAAGTCAAGGCATCAGTACAGTACAATCCACATATGAAGACAGTAAGAACATTAAATTAGGAGAAGGATATAAAGAATGCGGTCATGCAAATCCTTCATGGCTGGTTGTAATCGTAAATCAGTCGAATAAATCGTAAATATACACAGTTTTGCAGGAATTCAGAACAAAATTTAGTTCACACAGATTCAGTTTAAGACAACATTCTTTCCCTCTTAGTATTTTTTTTTCATGCACTGAGAAATGAATCATCATCCATGGTAAACATGCTCTTGAAGACAGTAGGTGTTTGCCAAACATGTAATCCTCTTACTGCTCACTGGGCTGTTTTCAATTATCACTATCCACACAGAGGCCCTTCCCACCACTGACTTGAAAAGGTGCGGCATGTTTCAATAATGATGGCAGCCCGTATATTAGTTTGATTGATGCTCTCCCCATTTTTCTATATGAATTGGGTAAAATAAATATATATTCAAACGATTGGTCTTTATAGCAAGGAGAAGAAAGAAGTTTTCATTATGGCGTGCTGCAGAAGGACTAGTGGTGCAATGTCACTCTTTCAGGCAAGGTTATGAATGAAGGGAAGAGTGACAGCATATAAAAGGCTGTTTAATTGCTGATTGATCACTGAGTGCAGTATTTGACATTATCAGGGGAGAGGATAATGAGTCGCCACGTTGCTTTGCAGTGGACACAAAAGTGTGGTGGTGTTCGATCACGCACTGTGATGTCGCTTTGCCCTTGGTTTAGAACTGGTGCTGTTGTGTGAACCCCTTGATCACTAGCAGTAGGTACGTTTATTACTAACTTACTACCAACTGTTTATATTGAGATGTAACATATGATAACTCTGAACCCCTCTCTCTTTCTCCTTCTCTTTGCAGGACCAGTGAGCAGTGTGTTGGTCAAACGTTTTGGAAGCCGGCCAGTGGTCATGCTGGGTGGACTGATGTGCGGGGTCTCTATGGTAACCGCTTCTTTTGGGACCTCCATCATTTACCTCTACTTATGCATTGGCATCATTGGAGGTACAGAACTTGGATATTTTTAAAAAATATATTTCAATATATATACACTGCTGTCTGGAAAGCTTTAGCCAGGTTGATAGATTTTACTTCTTGCATACCAGCCCGGGGAATCATTACACAATTAGTTGATCACAACCCCAAACTAAGACAAAGTGTTTGCAGTCAGCTGAATAATCCAACTCATTTCATGACATGGATCCCACATTTGTTTACCTCTTTGCTTACCATTCCCATAAGCCCCTGGTTAAGCCCCCTCTGAGATAGAGAAAGTCTGAATCTTTTCACATCCCTTCAGAATCTTTGGGTTGCCAGACCTGGTTCCCTTGGGTTGCCATGCTGTTTGTTGGGGCACAGGACATCTGCCCCAGCTCCTGGGGTGCAGTTTGAGCACCAGGGGAACCAGGACAGTAATTAAGACAGAACTGTCCCTGATCCCAGAGAGCGTGGTCTGCCGTGGCCCTCTGTACTCTCCCGTAGGCTCCCATCATGGTCGTCACATGGGGGCTCCATGCCACCCTGCGAGGCTCATTACCCTGCCAAGGACTGCTGTGAAGGATTAATAGGCCCAGCAAGTGGCTGGGCCATGTGTGGTGCCCGGGGGCATGTATGCACCCTGCTCCTCTCCCCTGTGCCCTGGCACACTGACACATAGGCATTGGGCAGTTTCACCTACCAGACAGGCAGATATATGCTCACACACACAGACCCGAAAAGATAACCATGAAGTTGAAAAACCTCAGAGTCAGTGAGATTCTTTTATTAAGGACGTATTCTTGTATTTATCCTAGCCAAGATTTCAAATTTAACTGATTGTCTTTCTTTGTTGTCCCACTGCATCTTTTTTAGTGACAAACAATCCAGTTTCTGTAGTTTTTAATGTCTGCATGTCTACATTGACTTGTGGACAATCAGGTGTGCTCTGGTTGGGTGCCTTGCAATACAGAGAGTGTTGATGGACTTTAGACCATGCATCCATAATCACCCTTTCGACTAAAGACACACTGTTGAACAACAGTGGAGTATTCCTTTAACAGAAATATATTAAACCAAATGTCAAATTCAGTCAGAATTTAGCATACTTTTTAATGTATCTAAAGCTAAACATCATTTTACTTTAACATTTCACTGTTTTTTGTATTGCCTTCATCCCTTCTTTGCCAAATACACAATAAGATGCTACTTTGTGATGCTTAATGTTTAGATAACCAAAGATTTCCCCAGATGTTGAGAAATCTGAAATATTATATTATCCCTACTGTATACTATTCCCCTTTGCCAAGACTCTTTTCTATATATCTTCATATGGTAACCCTCTGTTTGCATCCACTTTGAGATATTCACAAAAAAAGAAAATCTTTTTTTTCCTTCAGCTTTATTGTGGAACCAAAGATGACATTGAGAAGGAGAAGTAAAGCACCCTCAGTATCTACCTGTTGCATCTTCATGGAAAATAAGGTTATTTTAGGTATAAAGGCAAGAGAGCGAATGTATTACCAAAGCTCTCTAATTTATTTCTACTTAAATGGAGAAATTATTTCTGAAATAATTCCAGCATTCTGTAATGAGATTTTAGCCAGCAAAAGTGAAATGAGATGGAAACTTAATGAGCACCAGGCAGAATCAGTCTTGATTTAATTTAGTGAGTACCCTTTGGAGTTTAGGATCAAGGTTTTCTTACTCAGGATTTTTGAAGTGTGATTTTGAGTCATGATTTTGAGTGTTGTTTTCTTTCTTCATACAGGCTGTGGACTCTCCTTAAACCTCAATGCCTCTCTCACCATCATCAGCAAGTATTTCCTTGCCAGGCGTCCGTTAGCCAACGGACTAGCCATGGCTGGGAGTCCTGTGTTTCTATGTTTCCTGGCCCCTGTCAACCAATATTTACTGGTCAAGTTTGGCTGGAGAGGAAGTCTCCTAATCCTCGGGGGTCTGATGCTCAATTGCTGTGTTGCCGGGGCCCTGATGAGACCTGTTATTGTATCTTGTAAGCCATCCTGTAGTGCCCCACAGAATGAAGTGAAGGAACTGCCAAATGGCTGCAGCACTAAGCGAAACGGACGCTGTATGAAGAATGCAGGGAGTTTCTTGGATATGACCTTCTTCAAGGATAGAGGCTTTGTCATTTACCTCATTGGGAACATAATGTTCATCTTCGGTGCCTATGCTCCCATTGTGTTCCTGTCAGCCTATGCTGTTAGCCAAGGCGTAGAGGAGTACTCCGCAGCCTATTTACTCTCTATTATGGGCTTTGTGGACATGTTTGTCCGGCCTGGCACAGGCCTGATAGCCAACAGCAAGTGGATCAGGCCAAGAATCCAGTACTTCTTCAGCTTTGCCATGATTTTCAACGGCACGTGCCACTTACTGTGCCCGCTGATAACAAGCTACGCCTACATGGTGGTCTACGCAGTGTTTTTTGGCGTGGGTTTCGGCATGGTTTTTGCGCTGATATTTGAATGTCTGATGGACCTGATGGGAAGTCAACGCTTCCCCAGTGCAGTTGGACTGGTCACCATCATCGAGTGCTTCCCCATGCTACTGGGACCACCTGCTGCAGGTAATTGTGCACACAGATCATTAACTATCCGTTTACAGACCTGACAGAATCAGTGTGACTCCCTGAAAAACAAGACCTCTCAGCAAAACACTTTTTGTTCATAAACACTTTGTTTATATGGATTGTTGAATCTAAGACGCCAGACACAGGCACAAGTATTTACTTTCAGCTCACTTTAAAGATCGCCTTAGGCTGCTTCTTTCTGCAACTGAAGGGCCAAGAGGAAGTGAATAATGTACACATATACAAACACGCAGTTGAAAAAAACTCCATTGTTACAGCTGAAATAAATAGCCAGTTTGGAGCAAGCTCTTTTGCAAACAACAAAGCAAAGAGCAATTCTTTTTCTCCCTTTGTCTGTTTATCTCTACCTTAGTCATGTGCTGAGCATTGTGTTGCAGCAGAGCTCAGTTGCCTGCTAGGCTGTCATTACTGTAAGAAAGCAGGATTATTACGGGTGAGTAGGGGTGTTTTGGGGTGCATGAGTTGTCCACAAAAAAGTAGTAATTGGCCACGGTTATTTACTGCTGTAAAGAAGCTGCCTGCATGTCTCTGGCTTGTATCTACAGGTCTAATGTAGGACTTGATCTCCATACAAATGATCAAACATTTGGAACACAAAGCTAAGAAGCTGAGTGTATTCTGCATATTTCACATTGACTATCATAGGCCAAACAGACAGTCACAGTGAGACAGACAGCAGTCTGCCACACAACACAGGAGCCACAGACTCTGAAGAACCCACATTAGCTTTCCTGCTAAAGTCTCCTTCTTATCTAACTTAGAAAACATTAACGCACATTTTGCCCTTGTTAAGTGACAGGCCAAACAACAACTTACACCAGAGAAAAGTGAACTGCTAACATCAGTTTGGAGGCCAGCTAACTAGTTAAATGTCACTTCAGTCCAGTTGGTGTGGTCCTTACTGTTCAGTACCACTAACTACACGGTGTCTGTCCACGACATGTAGCTACAGTGCAGGTTTGTTTACTTTGTCTCTCGTTCTGTACGGTGTAACACCGGCACTATGGCCTGCCAGCTGCTGTCAATCAAACACAAATACCGACATGCCCTTCGAGCCGGCCCGAGACAAAAAGTAGACATTTTCCCAAAGACCTTTTTTATTTCTTTCAAATGTAGAAAACTATTAGCAATACATACACAAAAAGGGACATTGTGATGATTCTCAGGGAAGTTATAAGGAGCAACATTTTCTCCGATTTATGGGAGATACATATATACATATATGCGAGATGAACATCCGATACAGAGATTACCTCAGAAAGTCACACTGAATCTAAAAATATATGTTTGTGTGTTCAGCTTTAACTGAGATCAGACTATGAGAAAGAGAGAGATGTTTGTCACAGATTCAGGCAGTAATGTTTTTAATGTACTTAAATTGCCTAGTTTTGTGCCGCTCCAACTGCTGACTGTGTTGTGGCCAAACTACAATAACTAACTTCCCGTTGTTTTCAGAACAGTAGCATGCACCAGTATCTTTCACCTCACGCACTATCTTTGCCTCACGTCTCTCCCTCTGCGTCCTCACTGCAACTCTCCCTCACAGTTTGAAAACCTCTGCTCCACATGAACCTGCATTGTGCTGAGATGGGTGAAATGTGCAGCATATTTCTTCCAGTCAGTATTTCTTGACAGATGGTTAAAACACAAACCCTACAGCTACTCTCTGTTTTTATAGCTAATTGAGCTTTAGTAATGTAAACAGCTCCGAACAATCCCAGATAGTTCCCCGGGTGCTCCAGAGGTCACCTTACCCTGATGAGATCATTGGCTGTCACAGACTTCTCTGGTGAAGACTAAGTAAGTGGCACCATTTCATGTATGTTGTTTGTAGGGAATGTATATCACGGATCAGACTTTATTTTCACTGCTCAGCATCAACCTACGAGCTGAATTACTGACCTCTTTCTGCCAGCCCATCACATAAAAGAAAAAGCCCTTTTTCATCTGATGACTTCTATCTCCTCCTGATTCTATCTCCATTCTTCCATCCCTGATAGGGCTTTAGATCGAAGTGTTGGACAGCTACCTTCATGGTCTAAATAACTGTGTAATCAGAAGGATATTGTTTACCCTTTCAGCTTTCTTGCCATTTTCAAGATTAGTGCACTTGTGGAAAACCCACACTATAAAACATTATTGTCTTCATTCGGTAAAAGCAGAGGACTGGGACCTAATGGCAGTGACAGATGATATTATTGGTTGAATTCGGTTAGTTCATGCTTACTTAAGCACGCGTCACATTTTGTTTTACAGGAAGACAGCATGATCTGATTTTGATATAGAAATAGTAATAATAGAGTTTTTGTGAATTTTCTGGCATATATTGTTAAATAAGGGTACAATACAACTGAGGATGCAATCTCAAAGGGTTAAAATGACATGTTTCATTTCACCAGGACTTTAATTGCATTCTTAAAAGTTGGGAGCCAACTGAGTATGGCTCTGCAGTGATCGTTTTACAGCCTTAATGATAATTTTTCACATGTCAAATATAGTCATTGAGCAGTAGCACTTGGATTGGTTAATGAAAGTGTGGCACAATGAGTTGGGAAACTATCACTCGTTAGTCAAGACAGGTCAAGTTCAAAGCTAAAACAGTTAATTGATAAATGCATTAGTTGATCAATAGAAAAATAATCAGCAGTTCTCCATTGTAATTGCTCTCTGTTTTATATGATTGTAAAATGAATGAATATCTTTGGTTTTTGAAAGTGATTTGAAGACTACTTGGTCTCTGGAAAACTAACAAAAATATCGCCTGATTAATCTGTAATAAAAATAATTGTTAGTTGCAGCCCTAGTCAATTTAATCTTGAACTTACAAATTGGTCACAGAGGGCTTCTGTACAACACACTTAAACACGCTATCTTTATCTTCTCACCTGTTTGGAAATCACCACAAAAAAACCCAAAGTTACTAATTGCAATAATAAATTAAATGAGGTTGATTGCTCCCAAGATGGGCTCTAACATCAATGATAGAAATTGAGAAATTCGACAGTCCCAAATAACCCTTTTGGCTGCTGTCACACACTACCATAATCAAATGCATCCTGCTGTAGAATGTGAAGTTTGCGGTTACACTAATCAAGACATATATATATGTGTGTATGTATGTATGTATGTATGTATGTATGTATGTATGTATGTATGCATATATCACATTATACTCCAATATGTTGGAAAAAGTCCTTGTTTGCTGATAATTACTCTGGCCATTGCAGCTTTTTATGCAGAATGACTCAGCTTAATAGCATAAAACAAACAAACAAACATTGTTCTACTTAACTTTACTTAGACTATGTGAGGAACTGTAGTAGCCATGACATTATCCACATGCGCAGTTTCCCCTCAAAATTGGCACCATATACAGTATATGGAATGCGTAGGGTTATGCAGTTTCCATATATTGAACAGGACACAGAGCAACTTTGTCAATCATAATGCTGGTATTGTAAATGATGTGCTTCTGATGACTCAGGATTAACAAACTATCAAAATATCCAAAGCTCTTATTTAGTACTCAGCGTGCGTTCCAGTCAATATGTCAACTTTCTAGTTCACTTAGAAAGGCCTGTTTAGTGTCCTAGAAAGATTCACTGCGGACGTACAGCACTGTAGCTGCATGACTTAATCAGCTGTGCATGTGGGCCCACTGACAAACTTTTCCTTTGCCTCCAACCTGAGTTTTAATGAGGTGAAAATTGATAGGCCCCCCAGTTTGTCTGGTGCGACCCTGTTCTGAGGCGCTCATTTAATAGGGTAAATAAGTGCCTCCCTGCACGTCTAACAATCTCCTCCAGAGGGCACAATCGTGTCTCCCCTAACTAGTCTGCTTGTTACTGCTCCCCCAAACCTCCGGGTCAATCCAATTAGGAGGAAGTGAGGTAAGTGGGTGTAATTAGCCTTTTGCTTTGGGTGTTTAATGACGCTCAGTTCAAACTCTCGTCATTGAAGTCTTGTACCTGGGCCATAATTAAGCTGTGTGAATACATTAAAAAAGAGGTGAGCATGCCAGATGGACTTAATTACCGCTCAGCCAATCAAGGACCGTCTTAATGAGGGTGATGGTCATTGGCATACACAAGCCAGATGAGTGCTATCAATCAGATGATACAGCCTGCACTGAGAAACTCATCCAAATGCAAAGTGACCCCTCCTAGTGTACAGTACAGTACAGTACATGCACACACACAAACATCATTACCGTCATTGTTTGTCGTAAAGATGGTAATTGGTGTACTTAAGGAGACCTACCAAGGAAATTGCCCTTCAATTTAATAGATTTTTATAAGATACTATAATGTGCTCCGCAATAAAGGCGCCTTAATGGAGCCCGCCAGTCAGAGAGTCTAAAGAACTAGAACTAAACCAGGTTGTCAGAAACACTCCCGAACTAGGTGATCAAATAACAAATAATATATCTCTTCCCTTCTCAGAATTTTTTGAAAGTTAAGTTAATTTCGGTGACTTTAAGGACCATAAAGAGAACACATTCCTTCTCAAAATGAGTCTCATATTGAATCACTCTTCCATTGATTCAGTAAGGCTTTAAAATAGTTTAAAGGAGGGATTGTAATACAGTGAGATGGACAGACAGACAGGCCGTCATATATGCTGAGACTGAGAGAGATAGCGACACTTGCCCATCGATCCATGTCTGGAGGCCGGGGGGTCGGGGTGGGGTGCGGTTAAGACTCTGAAATTCTGGAGGCTTAAATCTGATCTAAACTACATTTGTCACTTTTCTGCAGAATTGGCCTTGATATTTATGGCTCTGAGAATGGGCCTCCCTTCTGATTCGTTTTGGTAGCGGCCGTCCAAATTGCCTTCCCAGAGATGCAGGGTGAGCCAAGGAGGGTGTAATGGCCCTCTGTCATTTCCGACATGGCTCTGCTCAAATTGGCCCATGGTCACTCTCACTCCCTTGCACACACACATATAAGCCAAATCCGAACTTGGTTTTGCTCTTCACCTTCAAACTGTTGGTCGAATGAAGATACTGTTCGGCGACATACTGTGTTTTGCTTGTCATGATGTACAACATTTCCAAGTGTGGTTTTGTTTTTACTGACATAGTGTGGCATAAAATGGGTAGACCTGACACTCACCTTGGTTTTGAAATATAATAATTTCTTTGCATGCTTCTTTGAACAGGAATGCTGGTGGACATCTTTGGTCACTACAAGTACCTTTTCTTCATGTGTGGCTCAGTGATCGTGACTGGCGGGCTCTTTCTTTTAGTCATGAACATCTTCAACTACCACATGCTGAAAAAAGAGGAGATGGCAAAGGACAGAGAGCAGAACCAAAAAAACATAGAGAACAAGGACCAGGTGGAGATGAAACAGACCTCTGAGGCAGCGATGGAACAATCTGAGCCTGAAGGTAAAGAGAAGAACGGAGCCCAGAGAGATCCATGTCCAGAGAACGCACCAAATGAAATGTGATTCCTCTATTTAGCATGCATAACAGGGGCACATGTATGTAAGTGTGTTTGCAGGTGTGAATGCAATTCTATTCCAAATAGCAGTTTGCCCATCAGCCATGTTTCCGTCCAACTGTAGCCCTGATTTTAACCAAATTTCCAGAATTAATGGGACTTTCCATCCACTACCATTATGCAAATATTAGCAGTTTGTTTATCAGGATAAACAGCTGGTGGTGCTAATCCTCCGGTCAGGTGGGATTAAATCCTTGCAGAAGAAGAGGGCGCAGTTAAACCTCAAACAGTTTTTTAATGCACAAATTGAAAATGCACATATAAACAGGTGGATGGAAACACACTTGCACAGTCATTCACTCGATCTGTTAGTCAACAGTCATCTCAGCAACTGTGCACTACAACAACACTGGCTTTAAGCTAAATGCTAATGTCAGCATGCTAACATGTTTACCATCTTAGTGTACTGTGTTAGCATGCTAACATTAGCTAATTATGGCTGATGGGAATGTCAGTTTTGCAAGTATTTTCTCAAAACGATGATGAAGCTAGATGAAAAGTCAGGGACTCACCAGAGTTCTTACAATTCATCCTGAGGGGAACAAGATTTTTTAACTAAATTTCATGGCAGTCCAACCAATAGTGGTCGAAATATTCCTTAAAAACCCAAATATCAACCGCATATTGAGGAAAACTCAGAGGATCTTCAAAGTCTGTGGACCACGATTGTTAGAACAAATTTCTAGATTCCAGTAAATCCTACACACTGGTCCTTTAATATCTGAGAGTGAATGTTTGCTGTAAATAACTTATTTTTTTTCAAATGATCATGAACGCACACATCTGCTTTTCTGTTTTGTTATTCAATTTAACTGTTATTTCACTGTAATCTGCCTATGAAAATATTGTTTTTGTGGTAATGTGCTTAGTCTCAGGAGACTACCAAGAGATATTTTGCACTTGCAGTGTTTACATTTTAAAGCTTATAATGTAAACACTTATTATAAAATCTAAAAATAGGTTTCGCATATGAAATACTGTAGCTGCCAGCAAAGAAATGGAAGTATTACAGGTGTAACAGGATGATTTATCCTTTATTTATTTACCCTTTTAGTTACTGTTAAAGCTGTGGTAGTTGGTTTTTTTTTGTGTCATTGGGCAAATCTTCCATACTAACCTTTCAGATTATTGTAATTGACGTGTTCTGGGAGAAAGCAGAGAAAGAGGTGGGAGGTTTTGCACAGGTTTTGCCTATTGCAGCTTTAAATGAATACTAAATGATACTGTCAATGGCAAATACAGAAACAAAACCTCTTTCTGAAGTGTGATATACTTATGATCATTCGTTAATCTAAAACAGCAAATAATAGTCTTTTAAAACTTTTTGTCAGTATTTATTTAATTTGAACTTTAATGCTAAAACACATTATAAGCTATGATGTGTGGTCCACAGTAATGTCGTAATGCTGTGTTGACATTTAGCAGTGACATTTGTTATCTGGGTGAGAATGGATTTGCATGCACTGTTAATTGATTTGAGGCTCTGTGTATTAGTGCATGTGAGTGGATGTGTGTGTCGGAGTGCGACGGAGTAACAAAAATAGAAAGTGTATTACAAATAATCCAAAATCTAGTTATTTTAAGTTTATATGTTAAGGTGATGGCAGCTTTTTGGATTCTGTGTTCCAGAGAATTTAATGAAAGCTTTAGTTCTTGATTACTGGTATTTCAACTTCTGACATATTATATGTATATGTGGTTTACAATATACCATTGATACAATGGATAACACTACATTGTTAACATTAATAAAATTCACATGTATTTCATTCTGTTTATATATATATATATATATATATATATATATATATATATATATATTATAATGTACTAAGGCTCCTTAACGCAGCAGCCCAGGTTTGATTCCAGCCTGGGGCCCATGCATGTTGTCCCCTTTTTCTCTCCCCATTACCTGTCTCACTTCAGCTATGTCTGTTAAATAAATGCATAAAGTAGTCTGAAAAATACAAATAAAAAAAGAATTGAGAGTCAGACCTATTTGTTGTGGATGATGTATGAACAGTAAGAACAGTAGTCTCATTTCCTTCATCACTTATTGAGTCCAAGACAGATGTAAGCAAGTTTTTGTGTTCCACATTCAAGCAGCAAGGTAAATGACACTCAGACAAGAGAAATGTTATCAATTCAAGATGTACCACGCTGCCTCTCAAATTTGGTGGCTTTGTCCAATTTTTCACGACAATTAGAAGACTGGGAAACAAGTTTTGAAATGTCAGCAGCTTAAGGGCGTGAGCACCTAATGAAGCAAGGCCCGGAAGTTCCAGGCTAGTGCTCTGAGCTGCATGCAGCCTCACACACATCAGCAAATCAGTGGGCCAATAAATTAGAAATGCATGCGCAAACACACATACACACACATTTTTTGCTATCTCCTGTCCCTTTGTCGAGTATTATGCAAGGTCTTTGGACATGACAAGGTGGAAAGGTACCCCAGAGACGAGGCGATGGGCGCTGTTGCTGGAAATCTGTTTATCATTATTATATTTCCTCTCACCTCCTGTTCCCCTCTGGCCTTCTGACCTTCCTCTGCAGCCCACCCTCCCCACAATGTGTGTTCACTCAGAGCGTGATGACCATCGTCCTCCATGCTCAATGGTGAAAAAAAAAAACATTACTTCTGGGTCTCCAGAGGGTCTTGAAGGTGGTTAGGTGACTAGGAAATGGTAGTTGAAAAATACTGTGGCGCAAATAAAACAAGAATTGTGAATAACATATTTAAAATTCTACTTTATTGTTTCATAATTCCACAGTTACTGCAATGTTACGCAGTTATGCTGTCAATTACAAGTCACATGTATGTTATTCTCCTCTGAGATCAATATGAGCTGCTACAGTAGGGACATTCATTCTCCTTCCTTTAGGTGTTTGGAGCCCTTTTAGGTTAGATTTTATTCACCTCAAGGGGATGTGTGCTTGTTTCAAAGGTGGTCTACCAACCTTGCTGCAAAATCTAATTTAATTAACATTAGCATCCATGTCTTCAAATGAAAAAAAGTGAGTTCATAAACAGGTAGAAAAGCTGTGATTGAGTTTCTTACTCATCCTTAATGAGGACTACAATTAGAATGTATCACCATGTACTAACTGTAATTGACTGCTCTCAATTAACAAGAATGTCACTTCTTGTTAACATGGGAGTGTGATTGTATCACTCTTCATGAAAACATCCTTCCTGTGCACGGCAAACAATTGTGTTCATCAACATCTACTTACATAAATGAAGCGAGTGCGGACAAGAGACTGGTGTGTGGATGTTGATTTTCAGCCCTCCTGCTGACCTTTGGATCTGTGCGAAGCAGATCTCGCTTGTTTACAATAGGTGGCTGACCTGATGAATCTGTCTTACACAAGCGAAGAGTCGGAGACAAGCGGGAAGGAAAGAATGTGCTCCCAGAGGGCTCAAAGAGCAGTGGCATCTATCAACAGAAGAAATTGAATGGGATGTTTCAGAGCAGCAGAGATTAGATAGGCCCAGGGTGTTGAGCAAGCACAGGCGACCAATGTAATGCTTCCCTCACCGGAGTTAGATCAAACTTACAGAACACAGTGAAGCAAGGACACACACACAGACACGTACGCACACACTCTGAGCATCCTACAGTGGCCTTTAGGTTTGAAGTAGAGATGTGATGCTTTGTTATTTGCTCAGGGAGTACACTGAGGGATAATGCTAGATAACACTAGAGATGTGCTATTTCCACATTAGCTACGTCAGCTATCATGTGATTCCCACTGGAGTGTTAGCATTAACATCTCAGCAAAAGTTCATCAAAAAGGGCTTATAGTGTAGGTTTCGTCAAGCACCATTTGAAATGTCACAACATGTTCCTGTGAAGAAGGTGATATTTGTTTTCCACAGCTAATACATTTTGGTTTCTAAGACAGACGCCAAAACTTTGCCTTGAACATAAAGAACTCTCTGAACCATCTAAATATCTTCTACAATCGGGTACTTCATCATACATTCATTTACAATCAGCCCATCTGCCCTCTAGAGGCAGTGCCTCATCACAAACTGATCATTCAGTTTTCTCTTTCAAGTATTATGTCTGAACTGTGAGAGGTTCTGCCATGTCCTTGATTCTCTGATTTCCTTTTGAACATGAAAGCAATCCAACATGAATGAATATTAAAAGGCACGGGGAGAAAATCAGGGAGGTTCACTGTTGCTCTTCTTTATGCTTTTGCCCTTATCTGCCATCTCTCGTGCCTGCCCTCACCTTCCAATAGCTGTGACAGAGGAATGATGGGCGCAGTCGCCCTGTTAACATTTAGCAAAACATACTTTTTTGCCAACAGTTAATATCGAGAAGATCAATATGAACTCACATTCCTCTGGTAAATGTATGACTACTGGCTACTGGTGGATATTTTGTACTTTTAGACAGAGCCAGTGTAGCTGTCTCCCTCCGTTTACGGTCTTTATGCAAATTACACTGATGTTCTCATCTTCATCATCTTAGACAAGAAAGCGAATATATGTATTTCCCAAAATGTTGAATTATTGCTTCAAAGGAATACTATCGATTGATTGAGTATTAATTACTGTACTTAAGTTTAAAGGTGGCACTGAAAAGCTTGGATTGGTGGCCCAGACTGATCGGAATGTATCAAAAGCTTCGCAGAAACTGTAGACCAATCGATAGTAGATTCTTGAGGGTGATACCAATATCAATATTTGGGACTTTAAAGGTCCAATGGGCATGGCTAGGTGCTACATCATCATATCCAAAAAGCCACTTCCGTGTCCATTCGCTAATATTCTAACGGTTCAATAACAGTAAAATGGTGCAGTAGGACAGAGTATTAGGGCCATACTGAGAGAAAAAAATTATTATTTTTGGTACTTTTTTTCTTGTATTATTATTACATTATTCCCGTAACATTACGACTTTATTCTCGTAAACCCCCCCCCAAAAAAAAAAACAAACAAATTAGTGCAGTGCTGTATTCCGTGTTGCAATAACAGAAACAACGTGAACAAAACAATCTCTTATTGCCGATTTCCCATCGACGAAAAAGAGAAGAAGAGATGGCTGAAGTTGATACGTTTGTTTTGGGTGCCGGGGCCCTCTTCCACACTTTCCCTGTTAGACTTCCACCTGACATTGAACTAACTGTTATTACCCTATTTGAATTATAAGAGTTTTTGAACAGACTTTGGGATGTCAGTAAAGTAGGCTGTCACTGTATAATAGGTGACCGGTTCCTGTGCTGTAGCCATTGTTGTTTACATGACCTAAAAATGCTAATGGACACGGAAGTTGATGCTGTTGATTTATATGTTCAGTTGTAGCCTGACTCAAAGATAGCATTCCAGTGGAATAACCCTTTAACAACCTCAACCATGAAGGTTTTGTTTTGGGGAACAGCTTAGCACCCCTACAACTTCACCCACTACCCACTTTTCTCCCACTGTCCAGTCTTTGTCACGATAATAAAAAACCTGTTTGAGTGTTCATGCCAGGATCATGTGAGGGAGGAATGTTTGGATGATAAAGAGAGACAGGGGAAAAAGAACCACAAAATGTGGAGAAATTGGTGCAACATAAAGAAGGAACAGTCAGAAAAAGGGTTAGAGAAAGTAAAAGAGGGGGCGTTTACTACTTGGGGAGGTATAGCGAACCCCTTTCCATCCATCATCCCTGTCTCTGTCCCGTCCACTGAGCAGGAGAGGTAATGAAAGTAATTTAACGTACATCTATAATTAATATGCTCTCTTTGGGCGGTGTGGTTGGGCTGAACGAGTGATGGAGTGTGTTTATTATGTGTGTGTGAGGGAGCTGGCATGACGGGGCACTGGGCCACTGACATGGTAATTCACTAGCCATCACTCCAGCAGTGCCGAGGTCAGATTGGGGCAGCTATATGGGGCACCGCCAGCTTCAACGCTCCCATAGGTACGGATTGGAAAGTGGGTTTTTGTTCTTTCTCGTCTCCTCTCTTTTTCTTTCCTCCTCTCTGAGTCTCCTGGAGGAAGTGGAGAAAGGAGGCGCAGCACGTAGCAGCGCCCCAGGCCAATGTTCTCCCTCTATGTGTCCTGCTCTTTTTCACTTTCCTTCTCTTTGTCTTTCTTTCTCTTGCCTTCCAGTCCACAACTCCCTCCTCTCTCCTATTCCTCTCTGCTCTCTGGTCGGTTAGTAAATTCCCTTTCTCCCTGTCTGTCTGGCTCCACCGCTTTCTCTTTATTTCTCCTAATATTCTCTCCTCCTCCAAGAAAAGTGAATGCACTTCAGGAATTCTTTTTTTTTTTTTTTTTAAAGGCAGACTGCTTTGCACAAACACAGTTCAAACCCGACTGCCCTCAGTGCTGTCTCCTTTTGAAACTCCCTGCTCTTTGAATACCATCCGTTTGAAGAGAATGCCCTCTGCATTTCTTTTACACAGTCACTCAAGTGCGCTCGCACACTCTCTTGCATTTGCACACGCACACAAACACACAGGCATATTAGGCTTACGTAGAAATACAATCGCGCATGCACAAATGCACACAAAACCACATTCACACACGGACTTGCATCAAAATACACAAGGGTGTACACACACCTACATCATATTTCAGCAGTGTTATTGATATAGAGAGTGAATTTCTTTTCCACTTTGAACTCATACCCCCTCATTTCATCTCTCCCTCTTATTCTCTCCCAGGCTACACTTATATGCATGGCCTTGCTCCAGCTACTGGCCATTCTCCAGTAAAGGTCTAATTCAGGTTAAACTGCTTACATGTATCTTTTATACCGTACAACTGAGTATTCTTGTTGCTGCCTTGAATAAAGCAGTTAAAAGGAAGATTCACTCAAATTACAAATTACATAGTTTCCTACCTCTAGTGGTATCAACCATGCAGATAGTTTTTGTTTTATTTGCCCTTTCTAGAGGCAATGTCACCATTATAATCCAAAGATTAGTGGCGCAGACTATAGCCACTGTTTGGTTTATTCGTTCTGGGCTACAGAAGAAACATGGTA